ACGACCCCAACAACCTGCACAACAACCACCTGTGCACCGATCACCACCCCAACAACCTGCACAACAACCACCTGCAGTGGACAAATAACAACAACGGCTTGTGCTCCTGGTAGCTCTAGCGGTAAAGTAAGACCTTCATCTGTTTATGTAAGGCCCGCAGCGAGACCTTTGCACAGCGCTTTGCCTGCGGTCATGGATCAGCATCTGATGCCATTGGGTGGGCCGTCGAATGAGCTAAGCATGAACCTCTACACCACCTATGTGTGCCGTAACAAGCCCGACGGCTTTATGCTTGCCTCCCTGACGAGCTGCAACAACTATTATATCTGTCGCTACGGCAAGCCCCTGCAGGTGAGCTGCGGCGCCAAGTACTTCAATGCGCTGAAGGGCATCTGCGATCTGCCAGAGAATACGCGTTGCATACAGCCGCGTGCCTAGGAGAATTGCCCACCCATTGACGCTACGACCTATCGAGTCCAAAGCATAAATAAAATACGACGACTCCACCAAAATTATCTATATACATATTTACGAATATACTGTTCTACTTAATTCCAATTGAAATACAACAGAATAAGCAAATGCCAATATAGGCCAGAAACATGCAAGCAAATAATGTGTTTTATATTTATCTAAGAGAAAGCTTTGGCCATTGAGCAAAGATCTTACAAGAAATCATCAAATATGTATGTGTCTGACACAATTTACATTATACTATATCACATCCTTTTAATGCTTCCAGATATTTTTCCTTACTCCAAGTGCAATTTACTCTTAAATGGAATCCACACGTGGGCAGTCAGCAGTAGATTTTATAGAAATTCAGTATAAGCTTTTGTAGTAGTTGCTGAGAGAGTCCACGCGGAGACACACTATACTGAGAGCATTCACTCGTACATGCATGCATGGTAAAATTCGTGTGTACAGAAAATAGAAAAAGAATGAAGAAATTGATTGTCATAAATGATATTAAAAGCTTTTAAATTCTGTAAACTACTGCCGAGTCGTTTGACAGAATTCCACAGGTTAATCACATGCCCAAGCCAAGCCATGTAAATGTACATACATATGTACATATTTAATTACTATATCTATTTTAAAAGCTCTGTTCGCGTATATACATATATGCGTATACATACAGATACTGAACTGAGTGCTTTCTTAGAAAGTATATGAGAAAATCCACAAGGATGCATATATACATACATATGAAGTGAGTTCATTCCTAGTTGTTTCAGAGTTGTATCCATACAAATGCACATACATGTGCACAACCAACTTTCGTTGCAGTTACTGAGAGGATCCACACATACACACATACTCTCACACCAACTAATGGCTCTGTTGAGTGATTATTGAGCTTTTACAGCGCCCACACTCTTATTGTCGTCAGTTGCCTTCAGTTGTTCGGGAATTTCGGTTTGATCATAGATGATGCGCAGAATTTCTTGGAGTTGCATACATATCAAGTAATTATTTATTAATACACACATACTGCTGAATTGAAATAATTAATTTTTGTACATAAATCATTCATGCAATTGGAAGTTATATTACAGCGATTAGTTCAAGTTCCGCCATATTAAATTTAAATTGGTTTGGGAAGAATTATATGTGTATGTATGTATGTATATATTTAAATTTGATCTACATATTCATTATTGTGTATGTATATAGTTATATAAATATATATGTATATATGTCTGCATGCTATTTGTTGGCTGCAATAGTGTTTGAAAGCTTAGCATCCACACACCTATCTTAAATTTTTTTCTCTCATAGTCAAAATCCCACTCACTGGAATGCTGCATAGAGTCTACATACAGAGCGCGGAGAGCGCAGTTGGATAAAAAGGAAGGGGAACTGAGCGATTTCGTGATTGGGACTAAGATCCACAGATGCACACATACATACATTTCAATAGTGAATGTGTATTAATTGTAGTTTACGAGTAATGTGGATCACAAGGGCGTGGAAATTATTCTTTTTGAGTGCTTGTTGAGTGGTTTACATTCTGAGTAGTGCAATGTTTGCTTACAGCATATTATATTGGAAAATAGCGTAACTAGTGCAGTTATATGTAGCCACGTATGTATATAGCGTAACAAATGAAGTTATATAAGACCATACATATAAATAAATATATTTTTCATTGCATGGTGCTTAGTAAACATGGAGAATGTCTTCACTTAAGGCTAATATGCTAAAATAAAAATAATCCAGGACCAGCTCATATTAGCCTTACTTGTAGATATTCTCTATGTGTACTGAGCACCATGCAATGAAAAATATATTAATATAGTCTTATAACTCCATTTGATATGCTATATACTCACGTGGCTTTATATAACTGCACTTGTTACGCTATTTCCCAATATAATAGTTGAAACTCATTTATATATTTATGTGATCATAATTATATTTCTCTTTTCGTTTTAGAACTTATCAGCAGTATCCAAGGAAATGAATCTAAAATTTTGCGTAAATTTAAATTGTATTTTTATATCGAAATCGCTCTCGACCATCCCGAGTTGTAACGCCGTCTTCTCAGAGTCCGTTTCACTTGTAAGTATAATTAAATCTGCTATTCTAACAATAAATTTTTATTTTCTTTTCGAGTCACATCTGGCGGTGCAAGTATATTATTTCAAAGTTCATTCCCGTATAAATCTTAAATAATAATATTGGATTTGATGCATTTGGATACGAGCTCTGATGTGATGCAAAGACCATTACAAATGTCAATTAAAAACTGTGTAAAATATTATCAAAACCAAATTTATTTTTAAATAAAGGAATAAAAATTAACATTTTGTTTTTGTATTTTTACTTATACTTATATTTTTATTATTAGTCCCTTGCCTATAGTGGTGCCCAGTAGACCGATCTACTTTTGATAATACCATATCAAACAGCATCTGCAATGTAGCTTACTCAAATATTGCGCTTACGTTCCACACGGCTTTTTTTATTTATCGATTCATCAACATAAAATAAATGTATTTCGTTGATTTTTAACAAAAGTAAAATTGAAACACCAGGTGAGCAGCAATCATCAGTAGGACGAAAAATACTAGATAACAGCTTAAATACATAGTGGAACGTAAGCTGCCCATTTGACTAAAAGCTCAAATAGACGGAGCTATGCTATCACTCATGTGGAACTTAAGAGAAATGAGTGCAATAAGCTGGGCTTTCATGGATAGATCATGTTACTGGATTGCCTACAAGTCACTTCTCTAAGCCTGGTACTTCAGGCGATTTTCGTTTAAATTAGTCTAAATGCGACATACAAAATTGTTTGGATGCTGTGTGTCTCGACCGCTGACGGATTTTGTTAGGAATTTTAATGAAAATACGACTGAAATACTAGGCCAACAGAAATCATCAGTAGGGTGAAAAATGTTAGTTATCGTGGTACTGTTAAATAACAGAGTGGAACGTAAATTGCACTGTAAGCAAAAAGCTCAAATAAAGTGAGCAACGTTAAAACAGCCACTCATGTAAAGCTAATATTTAATGAGTGATTTAAGTCGCTTGCATATGAGTAATTCAGTAAATTGAGCTCTGTTAAGTTAAGTTTCCATGGGCATGTCATGATCAAGGTTAATTTCGACTTAAACAACAGCTTTTTCTAAAGAGAGGCTGAAAGAACACGCATTAATACATTTGCAGCATTCCATTGCAAAAGGGAAAGGAAATATAATTTTAGGTTCACCAAGACAATATTAATGGCATGGCTTTACCAAGAACATATATAGTCTACTGGGTACCATACAAGGACGAGGAACATATTTTTGGGTTGGGCTGAAGCAAATGCATACATAATGCTTGACTAAGATTTTCGATCAATTTAATCAATGCAAAGTCTAAGATTTGCAGCTAGAGTCTTAAATTCCTGAGTACGGCTCCGTGATATTATTACTGTGGCGCAATGGCTTACCGGAAAAAAAAGAAGAAAAATGAGTAATTAAAACTATGGGGAGGTATGTATGTACATATATGTATGTTTACTCACAAGGTCAATGGCATGCACAGTCAATAAGTCCAAAAAAAAAACTCGAAGCGACATACATAGGTCATCAAAGTGCATGTACTAGGACAATGCAAAGCAGCTGTAGAAAAAACAAATTAATATGTGAATAATATAAATATAGAAATATATATGTTTCACCCAACTTATTGCGAATAGGTATAATTCCATTCATGTTAAAGTTCTCAAGAAACCCTCATAGCAAAACGCTCGATCTTGTCATTGAGTGAGCAAGTGGCTGAGCATACATTTATATGTGTGAGTATGTGGAACCTAAACTTCATGCAGAGTTGCCGACTTCCACTAACACGCTCAGCTATTGTGTCCGTGCAAGTCTTCGAAGCATACACGTTTAGAAAGTGCAGAGAGAGAACTTTTGCATTGCACACATACACAGGGTGTGTAATCATATAGCACAGTTAATTGAGCTTTTCTCAGTAGCCCATAAGAACATGTAACCATAGACATTGACACTTACGTTACGTTTTTGCTCTTCTCTTCAGTTTATGATTTCTGTATTTGGATATGTATATGTATGTATTTAAATTGGATATACATATGTATATACATATGTATGTATGCACATGTACATATGTGCATGTACCGAAGATTATTTTGTATGACTTTTTGTTTAACTATCCATGTAACTTGCAAAGTCAATTATAAATTTTCTACAATAAATTATTTTTGTAAGCAAACTAGCATAGGCTAATACATATAAAATATACATACGCATACATATGTATGTATAGATTCATATGCATTCAGCATATTGAAAATAAATAATAGAAATATTACAATAATATGTGTAAGTAATTAAAAATAGTAATTATATGTAATTAGATAGTTTGTATATAATTATGTAATTTATCACTTAATTATTATGTATGTATGTAATTCCAGGCAAAATGAAAACTTCTCATCCCAAACGTGATAAGTTCGGCTATTTGTAAACGACTGAGCGTAGCATAAGAGAAATAGAAGTTAATAACTCGACAAATACATTCCACGCTCTTACCTTCCATTCACTGCATTTGAATTGGTGCCGCATTGCGTGTGATTCGGAGTATTTGTGCCCACGTAAGAACGATCAAAGGCGCTCAGTTGAGCTTTAAAGCTGTGGAACAAGTTGTGATCTATGTATGCTTTCTGTGCGCCCGTCTGCGGATGGCGAGACTCTCTAGACTACACATATAAAGCTCAAAGCAAGGAAGTACAGGCGTGTGAGTGTGAGTGTTTTTTATGCTCATTCATTTTAACTCATTTCTGCATTCCACTGCACGCAAACATATTGACATACATTCTTTATTTAACATGGCATGGCACATTTAACATGGCATGGCACATTTGCTTCAATAGGCATTTAGTAGGCGCAAAAATAAAAATTCGATTTTCCGTGGCAAGAGTCGAAAAAAGTCGTCTTTAAAACATGGCTACTCATATGTGCAGTTTCAAATAAACCCATCACAATACATTAATTTGATAGTTCCGCCCAAATTAGCCCCATAATGTGTGAAGGTGGTTAAGGTATTTCCCGTCACATCGCAATGCAGCCGTTAAAGGCCAACTTAAAGGGGATTATTTAGTCTTAGAGAACCCCAAAGGAATGGACACACGCACACATGCGCTTTACGGTAGGTACTAAACGGACACTGCGCAGAGTGGGGGATGGGGAGTTGGCAGGAGCGGCCGCCCCAAAGACGCCAATGCAACATATTTTTCAAATGACGCCGAGTTTTACAAGTATAAGAAATGTCGAAAGTATTTAAGATATTTGCTCTAGAAGTGCGTGACACTCACGCTTTGTGACTTCGGCCCCCACGCCCCACTGCCCCAGCTACAGCTACAGCTGCTGTCAGAGTGCCATTAAAGTCAAGCGCGCCCTTAGTTGGGCTTTACAAAAATAACATAAGGGGATTTAGCTGCCCAGCAGAGCAACAACAACAACAACAAAACTGACCGCAATGCGCTTTAAGGCTTAGCGGTCAGTTTCGAAGTGTGCTTACTAGCCGGGCCATATCTGGTTTGGTTTATATTAAGGGTTAGTTGCGCCGCGTATGTTTTTTTTTTTTTTTTTTTTTTTTTGTGTTAAGGGCTTAGCTAACACATGCTTAGCCATAAAATGGCTGACAAAAGCAAGCGAAGACGCCAGCGTTGCCTACTCTTTGGCGATAACGCAATATATTAACAAAATAATTAAGGCAACGCACACACACACACAGCACACACATATTCAATTGCCACGCCCACCACACAGAGCTTACAAAGCCTAACGTTGCTTTTATGGTAATTTCGGTGTTGGCAAACTTTTTGGCAGCTAAAGCAGCAGCAGCAGCCGCCGCCATGAAAGGGCTCAAAAATTACGACAAAAAATAAATAACGTGACACAGCATGAAAATTGCTGGCAAATAGGCAGAGCTGCCAGAGCTGCTTAAGCGCAACAGGAATGCCGCACAGCCAAAAGGCTAAAAAGTAAAGAAACACACACATACACTCCCTCCCTCACACACACATTCAGCATGACTTTCAGTTGCTTTGTGCGCCTGCAGCTTTTCGCTGTCTGAAAGTGTGGAAGGGGTGTGGCGGCCCAGGGCTTGTTAACAAGCCATATGTGTTAGCTTGTAGGCGGCTTAAAGCCAAATAGACACCTTAACAGTCAGATTTACACACACACACACACACACACAGGTATTTTCCTATCAATAAAATCGCACAATTTATGAAGACAGTAAAATTTTATTGTTTAGAATATGACGCCATAATTACAGATCTCTGCTTGTCTGTTGTAAGTTGCATCTGAAAATAAAAGAAAAAATTAAAAAAGTAGCAATTAATAATGCTGCTGCTGCCTTTACTGCTCCTGCTGCTGCTCCTGCTCCTAGTTGCAAATTTGTATAGCATACTTTTGCGCGCCATGCACAAGGCATAAAGCAAAGCTTTCGACTGCTGGCACTGCGGGCGTCAAATAAACAATGAACACAAAGCACGAGCAATTTCGTAATAAAAAATTACACACATGCCACGCCTACACAGCAGAGCATACGTTTGCTAGCGTCAAAGCGAAATCGGCTTTTGTTATTGCACCTACTACTCCCCTCTCCCCTATCCCCACTCCCGTCACAGCCAGGACTTTGCCCCGCTGTCCCGAAACAGAGCAAGGAATTCAAATTACGAGTTTTGTTTACAATCGAGCGCCAGCCTCACCAAACGTCGTCGTCGTCGTTGGCGTCGTCAACTCTTTGCACACGAGTTATTGAATTGCGCGCACCCACCTGCCGAGACACAATAACCCCAACCGCCCTCCCTCCCTTCCCCGCCCCCTCTCCCTCTCTCTCTCTCTCTCTTTATCACCTGCGACAGTAAAGTTTTTATTGGCAGCACGCGGTGCTTTGTTTCGGCTGTCAAGCAATTTTCAATTTACCTAGCACTCGCGCGCGCGCCCCGACCGCCCACACCTGCCCTCCCAGTAACACCTGAGCTGGCTGAGCGACTGAACTTACCTCGATGGTTGACGGTTGCTGTGCTGCATATATAGACAACCAAGCTCAACCTGTTATCCAAGACACGACACTGGCTGGAATTCCGCTGTAGGGGTTCGGAAGGTGTCGGGCATGGCGAGCGCTCCTGAATTTCTTTCCAAAGCCTAGCACGTATATAATCCGAAGGGCCAACAGGCCGGACCGGAGGGACCACAACCTCTCGGCCCGCAGCCACATGGTCCACCGCCACATGGCGCACAGCTGCCCCAGGGGCCGCACGGCCCGCAAGCACCACCACACGGACCACACGCAGCCCAGGGACCCCAGCCGTAACTGCATCCGCCGCATCCTCCGCCACACATCTTGAGGTAGTGTTTTTTTTTAGTGCTGTGTTTGACAATCAAAATCGATAATAAGTATTTAGAAATCAAATAAAAATTTGGAATTTTTATTTTTATTCTATTTTATTTTCTTTTTCTCACCTTTGCTTCACAGAAAAAGGAACTTTCAAAAAATTTAATTTTTATATTGTTTGCCCAAAAATATAGGTGGAATTAATTTTGTGTTCTTATTGGGTTTTATTATAGTACTTTCAGTCCGTTGTGGGTAAGACGAAAGTTCTATAAAGAATGAGGTATAAGGTTTCCAGATTTACTTCCTAGCCTTTCGAAACGAGCTGGGCGCGTCATGGCTTGCTTGGATGAATAAAACATGAATTGTATGTGAATATGTAAAGAAAAAATAAATAAATATATACAT